GAAACAGTAGCTGAAATCATGTGGCGTAGTTATGTGGTCATAACTCCATGTTATACTCATGGTACCTACAGCTATGTCAAGGCGGGAGCGCTAACCACAAAGCACTTCCACCAAAACAAGAACTGCATGACTGATTGCACAACCAAATTGTGCAGTCCTCCTTGCCTGGGCAGAATAGCTGGCAAACAAATCATAAAAGCAGAATACAAACAACCACAATAACAGCCACATAAAAGAAGAATTAGGGTTGTACGGTCAAATCTAATGTGATTTTGTCGGACTGTGAAAAATCACATGCTAGCTGTCAGATAACATGTTCCCTCTGTGAAATTAGAGATGGCATGCCCATGAGGTGAGCTCAACATATCACCAATGAATTAACACTTTATTCCGTCGAATGTTCGCTGCTGATTGTTTTACAGGAATCTTTCCCCTGCCCCAAGCATCTCTACAGCTCAGTCGGCCTGCTGGATATTCTCTGGTTAAAAAACACACTTCTATTTTTCACCATTAAAAAAAAAATCCCTAAATCAAAGGCCAAAGGGAGTTTCTTTTTTTGAGAAACTGAATTTCACAAGCAGATAGACACACAAGTACATAAGTACCTTCAAAAGTGTTGCATTTTTAAAAGGTGCACATACAATGGAATTATTACAACTCAAGATACTCCCTGATAGCAGCATGTTCATCTGCTGTTACAGCATAAACACAGGAACTGGAAGAGGAAGACAACTTTCAGTGTGGGTGGGTGCTCAGCACCACCACAACTTGCTGCCTGTGCTTTTCGCTTGGGCATTGTGCTCTTTCACAAAAAAACAAAAAAACAAAACAAAAAAGCTCCACACAGAAACTTCCTGAATAGCTTATTATAGTTCAGTCCGTATACGGAATACATGCAGATAACACCCTTCAGTTTTATTTCATTGTTAATTTTCCTTAGAATTCTTCGATCATTTAAATTTTTGAGTGGAGAACTTTGCTAATGGCTAATATCCAGGGGTAAATCAAACCTAGAGTAGTCTGTTGAATCAATGAGAATTTGGTGAGTCAACTTCTCTATAAGTCCCATTGATAAACTGCCCTATTCTACTTGTGACTTGCTACTAGATTTCAGCCAACACAGAAAAAAAACCAACACAGAATCTTGGGGGACCTTAAAGGAGGAAAAGTTTTATTTGGCACATGCTTTTGGTAAACACATCAGACCCTGCTGAGAAATTGCAGTCCGCATAACTTTATGCCAACTAAAATGTTTCAGACTTTTAGATAGCAAAAGACTGTTGTTTTTCACAATTTATTGACCCAGGAAATTAGTTAGTTTTGAGCGGGACAGTTTGTTTTCTCCCTTTTAAATACATCCATTAGTATTGATACAAGAATTTTTCAAGCTTTATTAAGCCTATGTAATTTTAATGAGTGGTCCAATACTACTAGGCTCAGGCTCAGCAGTTCATGGTTCTACATGCAACCTGTAGTCAAAGGATGGGGATCCTTTTGCTTTGCTCATTGTAAGCTCCCATCAGCTGGTGTGGGGAGTGATGGGAGTTGCTTTCCAACAACCTCTGGAAGTAGTAGTGGCCAGTAGTGACTCCCATTTCAGACATCCCGTGAATTCACTCTGAGTTTTAGATGGAACACACTTTATAGGAATTATACAAAGTGCATAATCTATTTTGCTGATAGAATTCAGCACTCTGGACAGCTCCTTTAAAGTGCATATTAAAACCTGGACTGGATTTATGGCACTTCTAAGATTGGAGTCACTGGGCTGCAAGTTGCCCACCCCTGCCTCAGGCTTTTGTCAAAGCATCACATTTAGCAGTTGTCAAAGACGTAGCCATTTTTGTCTGTTTCACCATGTTTAGGAAAAGTAGAAATAGAACAATTGTGACACTGAAAGACTAAAAGGTTTATCTTAGTCTGAGTTTTTGTGGATTACAGTCCACTTCCTAGGCCAAAGATTTATATACCCAATGAATAAGGGTTTCCTAAGGAAATGCAAACAGAAAGATCTTGTTCTTAAGGGACTGGAAATGAGAAATCAACTGCGGTCTATATATTGTACAGGCAGCATGGGGATCAAGTGTGTGATGCTTTCTCCAAATAATGACTGAGCTACCCAAGCAGTGTTCTGTATAAGAACTAGGAAAAGAACAGGACTGAAACTTCACATCTTGAATCTCATGTATGGGACCAGCCCTTTGCACTGAATGCTGGACAGAACATTCTTTATGACAAAGAAGGACATCTGTGATATGCAATTTGCTTCTCTGAGGAAGAAACAAACTGATAGGTTACCTAAGAGACACAAGTGACTTCCTGAAGAAAACACATTCAATTCACAATCTCCCAGATAACATCATTCCAGACATTATGAATGCCTAGGTGCTTTATACCAAGATGCCACAGACAGATGGACTACAAGCTACTAAGAACTTAATTAGACCAAAGAACATTGAGAAATTATATTCTATAACTTTGTACTCACACACAACTATGTCACCTTTGGTAATAACATGTATCTCCAGATCAATGACATCCACTCAATTTGAATGTTGGGAAGGTGAGTACAGATAAAAGAAAATATTTCTTGACCCAGTGTGGTGTTAAGTCTGTGGAACTCCTTGCCATAGGATGTGGTGATGGGGGATTTCTATTTAAAGGGGGATTTCTAGAGGAAAAGTCCATTGCAGGTTACAAGCCATGATGGGAATGTATAATCTTCAGGCTTAAAAGAAAGGTACCTCAAAATGCCAGATGCGGGGGAGGGGTATCAGGAGACAGGTATCTAGTGTTCTCTTGTGCTCTTAAAGACATCTGGTGGTGCCACTGTGAAATACAGGAAGCTGGACTAGATGGGCCCTTGCCCTGATCCAGCAGGGCTCTTCTTAATGTTCTTACATTCTTGATTTAGAACCCAGCACATAAGTCTTTCTTTCATTTATTCCTTTATGGGCATCAGTATCAATAAGCAGATTGATTAGGTCCATGTTTAATTGTTTCTATGAGAACAAGTCACAGTGAAGAACACGCTTACTCATATGGTGATGTGTAGTGTTTAGACATTTTCTCATGGTGCAGTGAAAGCGGAAAGTGTCTCAGTTCTGAACTCCTTACAAATCTATCTGCCAGTCATAAGGCTCTGACCGAGCTGTTTATATTTATGATATTCTTTCCATCAAATGAAAATTCATGACAGTTTCAAATAATATGGATATGATATAGTGAATTCATTTTGTCCAAAGATCTAGCTGGAAGGTTATATCAATACACATAGCTTTTAGTATGGAATTGCAGGGCATCATTCCTTTACTGGTTCCATACCAATTACTCCTAATTCATCAGTAATAAGTTTATAAATATATAGGGTTGGGGGAGCACACTTAATTTTGTCATTTTGTTGTGTAATTCAACAGAGAAATGACTTGGCCAACCCTAGATTATTTAACAGTGTTATCTGGTCAGTTTCCCTCCAAAGGAAACCTAGTACTTCAGAGAGTGAAAAGAGTTATGCTAAGTATGTATGTAGGTAATGCCAATCATTTAACATATCAAATGACTTTTAAAAAACAGGGTCACAGTTCAAGATATCCCAGCAAGCCTCTCAATAGAGGTAAGGCACTAGGACCCAGTTCACCATGCAGAGTATCAAGTCCCAAGGCACTCAGTGCTCAGTTGGTCATGACCAAGCAGAGGCAGGAGAACAGGGCTGGGATAACAGAGCCAGAACAAGGCACCAAGATGCAGGAGGCAAGCCGAGGCAAGAGCAGGGGCCAAAGCAGGAATAAGAATGGGGATAGGAACAGATGCAGGAATACTGGAACACAGGGACTCCAAAGACAGTTTCCAGGGTCACGTGGCCAGCAGGACTAGACACAGAACACAATTTACCTTCCCACCAAGGTGGTACCTATCTATCTACTGTACTTGCATTTACATGCTTTCAAACTGCTAGGTCAGCAGGAGCTGGGACAAACGATGGGAACTCACTCTGTCACGTGGATTTGATCTTACAACTGCTTGGTCTTCTGACCTTGCAGCACAGACGCTTCTGCGGTTTAACCCACAGCGCCATCACGTCCCCTGGGAGGGAGATCCAATCCTTAAATAGGCCTTACCTCCAGGTTTCCAGGTGAGCCTCAGGAGTGGCCCAGCGACTGCTACACAGGCCAGGGCCTGAGCCTGCAAACCCCAGGCCATTCCACGGTCAGGCTGGCCCCGATCCTGCAGCTGCCAGGGTGGTATGAGCCAGATCGTGACAAAGAGTCTTGAAACTGCTCTAGGTATAACTAGCTGTTCCTGACAGTTACACTTCTGGAGATTTTTAAAGAAGTGCTACACAAGTCTGTGAAACTTTGCATCTTGGCCAGAAACAGCAGACAAAACATAACAACACAAAACCAAGTGGAGTGGGTGGGCAGAGAATTAATACATCCTTCCTATATCAAAATGCCTGTTTATGAGCATGCTCCTCCAGGAAATTTGAATTCTAGTGAGAAGAAGCACTTCTGTAGAATCGTAAATTATTTTGTTGACTTTTTCTTTAAGCACACACCTTTCAATCCATGCAGTAATACCTCCATGCCATTAAGGTGATTCAAATGTATAGCTACACTTTCTAGGGTTTTCTGTGTATAGAATACTCAGAGGTGTATTACCATTCCCTTCTTTTGGGAATGATGTCTTTTGGGGGACTGTCCAGTTTGCCCATGGCTACACAGGCTAACTCTTCTCCCAGGAGACACAGTAAGGAATCAAATTCCCAGCCTTTGGCTCTAGCCAGATATTTAAACCAAGCTATCCAGCCAGCTTTCAATAAACTGATACTAAATTGTGGGGCTTGGTCATAATCTGCAGTCCTTTATTTGATGAGATGGTCAGGCAAGGACTGTTACGGATGAATGCTTTCCAGGAAGATGAACACAAACAATCATTTCTATATTTGTCATAAAATAACATTTATTTATTGGAAAAAAACAACAACTGCTGTCAGTAATGTTTTAGAAAAAAGCCCTAAAATAGTCTTTCAAGGGAACAAAAAACTCCCTTATCAGAGTGGCTGGACGCTCAGAGAAGATTCTGCTTCTACATATGTCTTCTGCCAACAGGAACAAATCTGTATAAACAGATGTAGCACAGTATTTGCTGGAGAAATATAAACAAAGAAAAAATGTGTTAATGTGAAAATTTAGAAGATATGCCGGAACCTCATTCTTCTTACTAATATGAATTAATCACCACTTCATTTGCATTTTCACTTCAATCAATACAGGGATTTATCCTGTGTCTGATCCTGGCCTCTTTCCTTTTGCTCTTGTCTTAGTAAATTCTAAGATGGTCTCATTGTGCACTTGGTAACTCTGTGATAATGAAAGTTGCCGTCGCACCACCCTGTTGCCTGACAAAATGCTCTGACTTAATGCTGTGGGACAGGGGATATCCAAAAGATACTTTTTTCCCTCCATTGCTGCACTTTGATATGTCTGCTCACCATGCCACCATCTTAAAAGCACAGTGACTCTGTTAGCAGAAAGGAGACTACTGGGCATGTTTTTTCTCTCCAGGCCCACAGATGTGCATGTGTGTGTGTGTACAGACACACACATATGTGTGCATGCTTGAAAGCCCAGTTTCCCCTGTGATTGCTCTCCCAGAGCAGGGATGGACTAGCCATTAATGTCACTAGGCTGTATCTGATGTACGAGTGCACATATTTGTTTCTGGATGGAGGAAGTGAGGATGATTATACCATGTTTCCCTGAAAATAAGACAGGGTCTTATATTAATTTTTGCTCCAAAAATGCAGTAGCTTATTTTCAGGGGATGTTTTATTTTTTTCATGTACATCAATCTACATTTATTCAAATACAGTCATGTCATCTTCTTCGGGTTGCAGCACAAGTGTGGAGGGTGTGGTTTCACTTAACTAGGGTTTATTTCGGGGGTAGGGCTTATATTATGAGCATCCTGAAAAATCATACTAGGTCTTATATTCAGATTAGGTCATATTTTCAGGGAAACAGGGTATCAAACGAATATAATGTATCTACAGACGTTTTTTAGTTGTTGTGTGGTGTCCGACTTTTCGTAACCCCATGGGCCATGTTGGTAGCTTCAGTGACACCATCCAACTATCTTGTCCTCTGTTGTCCCCTTCTCCTCTTGCCCTCACACTTTCCGAACATCAGGGTCTTTTTCAGGGAGTCTTCTTTTCTCATGAGATGGCCAAAGTATTGGAGCCTCAGTTTCAGGATCTGTCCTTTCAGTGAACACTCAGGGTTGATTTTTCTTCAAAATGGATGTTTGTTCTCCTTGCAGTCCAGGGAAATCTCAAGAGTCTCCTCCAGCACCACAATTCAAACACATCAATTCTTCGGCGCTCAGCTTTCTTTATGGTCTAGCTCTCACTTCCGTAAATCACTACAGGAAAAACTATAGCTTTGACTATTCGGACTTTTGTTGGCAAGGTGATGTCTCTGCTTTTAAAGATGCTGTCGAGATTTGTCATCGCTTTCCTCTCAAGAAGCAGGTGTCTTTTAATTTTATGGCTGCTGTCACCCTCTGCAGTGATCATGGAGCCCAAGAAAGTAAAATCTGTCACTGCTTCCGTACCTTTCCCTTTTATTTGCCAGGAGGTGATGGGACCAGTGGCTATGATCTTAGTTTTTTTGATGTTGAGCTTCAGACCATTTTTTGCACTCTCCTCTTTCACCCTCATTAAGAGGTTCTTTAATTCCTCCTCACTTTCTGCCATCAGAGTGGTATCATCTGCATATTTGAGGTAGTTGATATTTCTTCCGGCAATCTTAATTCCGGTTTGGGATTCCTCCAGTCCTGCCTTTTGTATGCTGTATTCTGCATATAAGTTAAATAAGCAGGGGGACAATATACAGCCTTGACATACTCCTTTCCCAATTTTGAATCAATCAGTTGTTCCATATCCTTTACTTTACTTTATTTAGATTCATACCCCACTCCTCTAGACAAAGTCTACTCGTTCTATCCAGTTCTGACTGTTGCTTCCTGTCCCACATATAGATTTTCTCAGGAAATTGATAAGGTGGTCAGGCACTCCAATTTCTTTAAGGACTTGTCTTAGTTTGTTGTGGTCCACACAGTCAAAGGCTTTTGTGTAGTCAATGAAACAGAAGTAGATGTTTTTCTGGAAGTCTCTGGCTTTCTCCATAATCCAGTGCATGTTAACAGTTTGGTCTCTAGTTCCTTTACCCCTTGGAAATCCAGCTTGTACTTCTGGGAGTTCTCGGTCCACATACTGCCTACTTTGTTGGATTTTGAGCATAACCTTGCTAGTGTGTGAAATGAGTGCAATTGTACAGTAGTTGGAGCATTCTTTGGCATTGTCCTTCTTTGGGATTAGGATGTAGACCGATCTTTTCCCGTCTTTTGGCCACTACTGAGTTTTACAAACTTGCTGGCATATTGAGTGTAGCACCTTAACAGCGCCATCTTTTAAGATTTTAAATGGTTCAACTGGAATGCCATCATCTCAACTGGCCTTGTCGTTAGCCATGCTTTCTAAGGTCCACTTGACTTCACTCTCCAGGATGTCTACAGATGTAGTGCCCCTTAATTTTGGTGGCCACCCTCCTCACACGCAGATCTCCACACCTTAAAATTTCAGGCTATGGGCTACCCTGTTTTGTTCCCTTGATCTTTCTCCCTCTTACAGAACTCTTGAGTGGGAGCTCCTCAGAGAAGCAATGTAACTTTGAGAAGCCCCCATGCCAACTCTTGTGTTGCCCTCGGACATTTTGGAAAGAGACAGCTGACAGTTTTTAGATGAAGATATGTAAGCCTGAGTGGTGCAGAGGTGAACTGCTCTTTAGCAGCATGAAGCAGATCAGGGATGGGGGACCCATGGCCATCTACAAGATAGAGGTTCAAAACTTACAGATTTATAGCAGACATTTCTTGAACTAGAGCACCCATTCAGTGAAATGCAAAAACCAACAACCAGAAACCAGTTTGCAGGACAAGACAGGTAACAAGTCCTGCTGATTTGGCTGAAAAAGAAGGTTGTACTCCAGGACAAATGCTTATGAGAAACAAGTCATTCACCTGTTAACCGATGGAATGTTGCTCCATACATGTACTGCATTCTGGATGATGTCACCTTGTATCTTATATCTGACTACTGCCTCCACCTTTCAATGGGACAAAGGTTTAATATATCTCAACAGTTTTGCAATATCAGTACCATATCACATGCTAAATATCTTTCCCCTAAACAATTCAGTGATTTGAGCCTCTGAGAGAGTTTACATTTTGAGGTTTAAAGTAGAAGAGCAGTTCTTTGAACTGGGATCAAAAACAGGTATAAGCCAAAGATGACTGGAGTAAGATGCTCTTGAGAGGATGCATCCTGGACACAGCATTCTGCAACAACTGCATTTTATCATATACTCTTCAAATCACGGCCCCGATAGAACCAGTTGTCTAATCTTGAGGTGGCCAAGGCATATGTAGCAATGGAGAGATCTACTTTCTCCCAAGAAAGGCCAACTCCAGTTGCACCAATAGAAGCCATGTAAAAGTATCTCTGGCAACAGCTAGGAATCCAGGAGAAAGGCGGTATCTAGGAATATCCCCTGAAGATCTGGCTCTTTAAAAAGAGTGCTGTCCTATCAAAGATATGCTCTTTAATTAATGTTGGACCATCCTTCCTATTACCCCAAAGCACTTCTGTGAATCAGTTCTTAGCTTGTTAGACCACATCCTCCCTAAAGAGAGGAACAGCAGTTATCCCAGCACCATGTCTCTGGTACGCCACCCTCTAGACAAGACTGGAAGCAAGGACCAATCTACATGACTTTTTTGCCCATTTTTCAGGGCTGGTCTGCCCATTAGGCAGAGTGAGGCTATTACCTGTGCTCATTGAGTGCTAGGGGAGGTGGCAAAAATCCCCACACCTCTGACTGTTCACCATCTGAGCTGGCCATCCGTATCTGCTACTACCATGGCCTTCCCACCTTCGCAGCACTGCTGCTTCTCAAACAACCTTCCATGGAGGCGGCTAGGAGAGAGCGAGAGCTGCCACTCTCCCCACCCATCGTCATTGTGAGGGTGGCATCATGGCAGTGAGGGAGGAGGAGGAGTGGCTGAGTGACAGCCACACTTCTCTTCCTGCCTCAGGTGGTGGCAGAGGTGCTTGTAATTGAACACCTGGCTCACTCACAAGTTACAGTCACAAGTCTGAGTGGTTCTGGAAGACATACTTCCTGAAAGTAAGTGTTCCAAGCTCTGTTTTTTCTGCTTACCTTAAAAAAACGAGAAGCTGTATCTCTATCTTCTTCATCAAGAACAAGGTTGTCTACAAAGAGCCAGAAGAAGGGCTTCTTGCTTCCTTCTGTGGGTCTTCCATACTGAAGTATTCGAAAGTATTGGTAAAAGTACCAGGCTTTAAGGGAAGAGAGAAGAACAGGCCTTAAGAGGGTGGTCTCTGGAAATTTCTTCTGAAACTAGGTTGCAGTCTTTTGAAGAAAAGAATGGCAACACTCTAAAACTACACACCCATTGCTTATCTCTAAGGAAGTTTGAAATTAAGTTGAATGTAGTTCTGGACCTTTTAAATATTCAATTTAATTGACAAGTTGCAACTTAATATTGGCAATTCAGATTTAAGAATCAATTCCAAAAGGTGGCAAATACTGGCAGAGGTTATAGAAAATGCTAGGATCCAGACATAAACCCCTCAAATCTCTGTTCAGAAAGCAAATTAAATCTTTCAGGAAGAAGTATTCAGGTGGCAATAAAACAACACCATCAACAACAATTCTGGTGACTCTCCTTGGTTTCTATAGTTATAGAGTAGTTTAACATGGTTTAATTCTGACTCCTTCCTTCTGGTGGCACTCTGGTTCTCTGCAGCTTGTGAAATGTGGCCTGGATGGCAGAGCAAAGAAACCCATGAGCCCCATATATCCCAGGTGATCTTGGTTGGTTCCTCTTCCAAGCACCCAGGAGGCACACAGGAGGATACTGATCTGATTGCTAGTGGGATTTTCAACTCTGGGCCTTGTGCTCTGCAGTCAGGTGCTCCAACCCACTGAGCAATACCAGCTTACAATATTCTTGCTTTTAAGAATGGCATTGGGTTTGGACATGTTAGAGTTAGGCTAGTCCTAGCATTAGACAAGTGAGGCCATGGGTAGCATCCAAAGAGAGAGCTAGATGCTATGCAGTCTGTCTTACTCTTTTCCCTCTCCCCAACGTAGCCTGCTGCTTTTAAGTGTGTCAACAGAGGCCTTCCCACCAGTAATGTTGAAGATGAGAGATTCAAGTAGTGGCCCAACCAGCTTTTGTACATGGAATGGGAAAAGCATTGTCTTATTCTTTGCCTTAGGCAGCAAAATGCCTTAAACTAGCTCTGGATTTGGACATGGACAAATGTCCGACCTCAGCCATCAACTGAGTGGGAGGGTGAATGCAATCCAGACTGCATAGTGCTGAGGATCCTTTGGGCTGCCAGATGTTCTGGATTAGAACCCACATAAAATGTTACCAATGTCTGGGGCTTCAAGGTGTTGAAGTCCAAAACATTTAGAGGCCTAGAAATTTCTGACCCCTGAGTTAAGGTTATAATCTTAACCTAAGATGGGGAAACACAACTTTATTATGGACAATGAAGAAATTGAAATGGTTGCATATTTATATGTTGGTTTGATCCAATCATCAATCCAAATCCAAATTGCAAATAAGAAATCAGAAGAAATATGAGACTTGGAAAGGTGTATAAAAGCTAGACAGTGAAGAAAGCAGACATCAAAAAGATTGATTCATTCGAAGCCCCAAATCCTATTGGGTGCAACAGGAACTATGCCATTTGCATTGAAAGATTGCAGCTAATTAAAGGCATCACTTTGTGATTTTAGGGCATAGGTCACTTTGCCCCCCTTTGTGTACAAACCACGTGCACCCTGAGATTATGAAAGGAAGTCTTTAAACAACAACAATCTGCTACTGCCAGTAATGCCATTCCTGTTGCATGGGCAGAGCTGTGCAGTAATATTTCAGCCAAAACATGGTGTTGAAGGACAGCTTTACGGATATGTGGACCACCATAAAGACCAATAAGTGGGTGCTGTATCAAAACAGGCCTGAACTTTCAATAGAAGCAAAAATGAAGTTATTGTATTTCTGGCATATCACAAAGAAATAAAGACCCACTGAATAGGACAATAATATTGGGAAAAATGAAGGCAGTGGAAAAAGAGGAAGAGAAAATAAGACTGATGACTCAATAAAGGAAGTCATGACTTTGAATTTGAGCAGGACTGTTAATGACAGGACCTTTTCAAAATCACACATTCTTAAGGATGCCATATGTTGAAAGTGACTGGATGACACTGCTATAAGGACAAAAACACAAGAAGAACCCATTGTAAGGGAGGGGGGAACTGCCCAAGGCTATTTGGACAAACCAAGCCATTGTATCAGACAATGTAGCTGCAACCTGAATGTCATTTTATCTAACCTGTTCCTGAGGAGAGTGAAAGTAAATGCACCAAAAATGATAAATCACTTTGAACTGACTGAAGCAATAAAAGTGATTCTTAACAGTGACCATTTCAAATACGTTTATACATCTTACCAGAGGGGTATTTGTATGACCTTGCCACTGGTGGAGTGGACCCAAATATAAAATCAAACAGGCCCAATTCTTCTATCTATAAAACAAGGGAAAAAAAGCTTCAGAAGGTGGGATGGAGAAGAGGGTATTTTGTATTTTAAAGGCACATACATTCATATCAAGGGACAAGAGCAATTTCTAATCACAGAATAAACCTAACCTTACTAACTGGCATGCCAGGCAAAAGCAAAATAAAGGAGATAAACAAGGCAAAAACACTGTGGCACCTTGAAGACTAATGATTATATTTTAATGTGAGCTTTCATGGACAAGCCCACTTTTTCAGATGGAAGTGGACTTGTCCATGAAAGCTCACATTAAAGTATAGCCTTTAGTCTTAAGGTGCCACAATGTTTTTGTCTTCTTTACTTTTGTTTTGTTTTTGCCTGACATGCCAGCACAGATGGATGCCACTACCTCTAAAACTTGCTAACTAGGTTTTCTTTAAATACATTGCTGCTAATTGTTTCACTTATTTCAAACTCTCCATGGTGCAATGACTAGTCAAAGTACAGTGGTGTCTCCCTTATTACCGTAATTTAGATTAACAGTGGAATCCAATTTGCATCTACTCAGAAGAAAATTCTTCTGAAGTCAGTGGATATCACACTCAGCATATACGTGTGCCTATAGGGCAGCAGCTGAAGCCACATGGAAATAAATGAATGTATTCCATGTACGTAGTTATTATTCAGATGTGTTTATGTGCCATGTTTTCTTTTCCTAAATGAATTCAATCCATAAAGGAAACTCAAACTGAAAAAAATTAAACAACAATCTAGCAATCATTTATGGAAAGGTGATTAAAGAAGATAAAGAAGTAAAGAGAACAGGGGGGGGCACAGGAAAGAATATGTTCTGGAATGATGCCTTGTTTTGTGAGATAATTATTAATAATAAGACTGATTCATAGCAGTGAAAGGTTAACAAATACTTGGCCAGGATCCAGCGTACAGAGATATCCAATTCCCTTTAAAACTAATGATGCTTCGGCACTTTGATCTGTGCCAGATTGTAGCCATTGAACTGGGCTTTGGGCATTTCACCCCCATTCAAATGTGTTGCCAAGCATGTTAATTAAATGGTCTGCATGCTTACAAAGACACTCCGGTTCAGCATAGGATTAGCTTACACTGAAATAAAATGACTCATACTATTTTACCTAGCCATTTCCCCCTCCCATTTTGCCAAAGTTTCAAAGACATGCCTCTTCTGTCCCTAAGCAGAAGTTTCCAGGGGACTCGCCAAGTCAGCCTGCTGTAGCAAAAACAATGAGGAGTTTTATATATTAAAATGTTAACACATTTTATTTTACATAAGCTTTTGTGGTCTTTTTTTTTTGCCAACTTCCTTATACATACCTGAGGATGTGGGCTATAGACCCCAAAAGCTTATGCCAAAGAAAGCCTGTGAGTCTATAACAGACCTGGGCAAAGTGCGGCCTGAGGGCCACATACGGTCCACGAGCCGCTCCTATCCGGCCCGCAGACAGTTTTGAACATCAAAACCATTTATAGCTTTTTGTCTAAAGTTGATCAGTTGCTTATCTTTAACATACCGCAAAAAAACTCTTTAGTATTTGTGAAGATTAACAAGTTTAAAATAAAAACAATCACATCACTGTTTCATTTTATTTTTAAGTAAAGTTGGTTCGGCCCCTGAACACAGTTCAGATTTTTCATGTGGCCCCCCCATAGAAATTAATTGCCCACCCCTGGTCTATAAGGTGCCATAAGACTTCTTGTTTTTCTTTGCCTGAGTTAAATTCATACAAACCTGAATTAGTAACATTCCTGACATTTCTCATATATTTTAAACTGTCATTTAAAATAACGTTTACTTACATGTTTTCTTGTCATATTTGTGACATCATCCAAATACTTCAATCGTCCATTGCTCATATTTTCCCCCAGGAACCCAAAGCTTTTCAGTTCTGGAAAACAGAAATAGTTCCTTCCAGGTTTTGAAACTCAAAGAGAGTCACACCTCTCTACTGTGTGTTCTTTCCCTCTCTTAATCTGTTGTTGCTGTTGATCTGTTAAATTGGTTGCTAGTATGTGTGCAGTAAAGAAAATAGTATACACAAGTCTGTAATTTCAAGTAAAGAAACTTTTAAAATTCTGGCTACAAATGCCTCAGAGTGAGTTATCCAGTTAATGAAAAGCTCTCAGGAACTTTGTAGCTAATCTCCTCTGTAGGTCCTTTCCTCTAGTCCAGAGAGGTACAACCTATTGGCTGCTCCCTGCATGCCTCTCAAAGCTAGGGGAACTCTAACTTCTCTCTTTTAGGGTGAGCATGAAAAGTGCTACCTCCTGGCTTCCAGTATTATTTAACTACCACAAGGAGAGGGAGGGAGAACCCCAGCATGATGTATGGATAGAATACTGGACCAGGAGTCAGGATGCTTGGGTTCATATCCCCACTCAGCCATAACAACTCATGGAGGGCAGGCAATGGTAACACCACTCCTTGATCTCAGAAACCCTACCAGAAAGTGACTGATGTCAGATGACCGCTAATTAGTAGCAAAGAAACTGTGATCTTACTGGAGATCATCGGGGCATACTAAAAGCTTCCCTAGGAATCCTTAGATTTCAGCATGGAGGAAGGGAAGATTTAAACTTCCCCATCCCTGCATACCAAGTGTGTGTGTGTGTACATGTGTGCAAATGTGAATGAGAAGATATGCTGTCCCCAGCAACCCACCCCTGTATGACCTGCATGTGGCTCTTGAGGCAGAAAAGCTTGGGCAGTCCTACCCTAGCGTCTTGCAACCCAAACCACAAAGTGCCGCTAGTGAGGCAGCAAGCGCCACAGCCCAAGGATTTCTGCAGAGCAAATGGGTCCTAATGGTTCAAGCCACAGGCTGTAGGAGAGGGGGAGGTATTTCCCATTTACTTACCCGGTGTAATGTCATCAAATAAAGAGAGCACATGGATGGGTTTTCTCTCCCGTGGGGACAATGGCTGATATATTTCAAGAGAGTTCTAACACAACCAATTAAAAAAAAGATACTGTAGTTATTTGTACAGGGTGCCTTTTATTTGATTCTAGCAACAAAAACTAAACATATGCAGCATGGGCGGCTGGTGCCTGTCCTTGCTGGTCCATGACAACCCCAGATACACTTCTCTGATCTGGATGTAGACTGACACATGTGTGTGTAGTTAAACATTTCCACATCTGATTTTATATAGAACTCGTGGAGGTAAGCCCATCTCCATTGGCACCTATCTAGTTTCCTCCCTTATATCCCTATGTGCTGCAATTATAATGGCATTCTTGCTCCACAACCCACAGCCTAGCATTAAAAGTTGTCCTCTGAAATGGCAGCAGGCAATGCAATTAATAATGCAAAGTGCAGTTAGGGCAATTAAGTCACAACTAAATATGGCTGCATAAGGGCTAAATCTATAGACTATAATGTGAACAAATAAGCCTCAGATTTTCTTCACTTGGAAAACCTTGAGCACCTTTTAAATCAGAAATAGTTGTTTGCATTGCAAAATGATGAGTTATTCTACTCTGTAAGGATTATTGTTACATATGCCTTTGTGGTCTACCTTACTACATCTCGGCAAATTTCTGTAATGTCATCATCTGTAATATGATTTAGAAGCAAATGTAATATCTGTCAGATCGTGATGAGGAAATACCTTAAGTGCTGAAAGAAATGTGATTAACATTAGACAGGCTTTCCACATCTCTTAAATCTACAGATCAGAATGCTCTCTTTTGCGACTGACCGCCTGGAGGCTTCACTTTCAAGCATGATTACTGAGACACAAAGTTCTTCTCTCTGGAAAACTAAGGTGGTTTCAGCTTTTAATGACCACACAATCTGCAAGGTCTAATTTGAATTTTAGCGACCCATTGGAGAATCTACAGTGTGCTGGCCCTTAAAATGCCTCAATCCTAGTTTCTGGGTAGGTGTCTTTCATTCTCCTTTTCCATCTTGAGTGGATGGAAAGGAGATTCGTGGTACATGAGTTCTCCTCAAATGTTTATGTCTACAGAAAGCTTCCAAGGAAGCTGAATACTATGTATTTACCTCTGGTTATTGACTCCAGTGATTGATGAAAATACACAGAATTGCCCATGGACTAATCAATGTAAGAACTAGCAAATGGTGAACTTTGGCCTTCCTGATGGATCAATGACATTTTTTCTGCTGTTTCTTAGAAAGCTTAACAACCTTATACCAGGTTGGGACAGAAAAAGCATATTTGGGATTTTTGGCAGAGTCCTCTTGCTTCACACAATGGTGTAGGGCAAATCACACAAGCAATTTTACCCCTTTGCTCTGCCATGCTTTGACAGGTTTGAGCTAAACCTGAAGGAATTGTTGAATACAATTTCATGCATAGCAATAAGTATTTGTCAGAATCACTGCTGTAGAGAGAAGTAAAGTAAGAATTTATCCAGCTGAGTTAATTGTAAGAGCTGAGAGAGCAATCCCAGGATTGGCTAACCCTGGGATAAAGCTAGCAGACCTAGCACACACACTCTGTGGGTTGCTGGGTTGGTGTTCTCATGTTGCTGTGCTGGAGTATCCTGGAAGAAGCCGCATCTTCGTGCTGTGTATTGGAAGAGGAACTCTGGCTACTGGACTGAACATATGGTATTTGACTGCTGAACTAATTTATAAGGACATTGACTCTGATTTATGCATTGAACTCTGTGGAAACTGCTGTGTATGACTTTGGGACTGAAAACAAGGACTAAGCTGTACATTTATGTATATACCCTGGAAATAATACAACTATTCTGCTATCAATACTGCTTTATTGCTTGGCGTCTTCATCTCTCAGGGAAGTTCTACTAGTTAGCACCACCTGGGGCATCCTGGTAATACCACAACTCTGTCATGCTTCACACCTCCCCACATCCTCTAGTTGCATGAATAGTTGTGTGCCTGGCCATGCACCTGGTAGCAGGGCAGATGACAAACCAGAAGGGAAGCCACTTATATGTTTGGCTTTACACAGTTTTCACTGATAGGACTCTACCCTATGTCTATATGGATTCACACTAGCATTATTTGGAAGAAATGCAGAGGCTGTCTGTCAGTCCCCATAGTCATCTTGCCCCATAAAGAAAGTCCAAACATGCAAGTCACTGGATTGATGCATATAAACGATTAAGGATTAGGTCTTTTTCCCAACTTGACCATTCAGGATCAAACTCTCCTCAAATATTTTGTATTATACTGAGGATAGCTTACAACATTTCTATAACAACAAAAAGATCTATTTTTTCTCTTGGCTATGGAGAGGACTGCATCTAATATCAAAGGGAACAGGGAAGCCTAAGTGGGTGGGTGGGCAGCTTACTGTCCCTGCTCTTCTGAAAATCTAGGGACTTAAACCCTGTGAGTCCCAGTTTTCACTATACCACTGGCGTGGACACTTTTGGGGACCAGAAATGGCTTCTGGTTGATGAATGTGGGCAGAGAGCAGTGAAAAGGGAAGCACAGGAAGCTTTGGTTTGCTTTTGTTTGTACTAGTAGTGCTGGGGGTAAAATCTTCAACCATTGTTTTAAAGAAATGTAATGGCATTTTTGCAAGTGGCTGTGCTTTTTGTCATGTCAGCTGAAAGAGTTTTACTGCCCCATCTGGAAAAGGAAGGCTTTTTATTCCTTACTTTTTAAAATCACCAGCAAGCAGTAGAGTTAAAGGAAAGGGACAGACCCTTTGTTTTTGAAATCTGTTGGTTTAGGGCTGTAAAATCTTATTCTAGATGGTCCATTCTATGAAATATCTATCCGGTTAATGCAAAGATAAACAACCTTCAAAATGTTTTTACATTAAGCAAAAGTCAATGCAACATATTCCCTTACAGATTCCTGATCATAGAAATGCTTCAGTTCTTCACGCCATCTTGTCCTCCTCTTGAGCAGCCCATGTCCATCTTGTGACTGGCACATGAAACAAAGCCAAGGGCTGGTTTCTCTGACTCCCTTTGAATGCCCAGGATGAACAAGCGTATCAATACATTCTTCACAAAAACACCTAAATGAATAAAGCGATTTTCTGGATATGAAGAACTCCTTCTACATGTCAGAAGGAATCAACATATGTAGATGCAAAGAATTCCCAAGGAGCCTCTTGCTGTAGGGAAGGCAAAGTTTTTCCCCCTACTACAAAGTCCCAGAATCTCCCAATCAGCACAGTCACAGGCCATAAATACAAGGGATGACAGTGTCCCTGTGGAATTTTAGCCAGTATCCATAGAACTGAGAAGCTGCATCTGAGAATCACCTTTTTTCTGCATACTTACCAAATGTATTACAACGTTCTCCATCTCATCACTCAGGGATAATGATGACAAGAACCAGGCGGCACTCAATTCATGAGCATGCATGCTTGCCCACCTTACAAATCTATTTGTATTGCAGTGAAAATCGGTACAAGAGGAGAGCTTGGACATGTTCCTTTCTTTCACGGAAAAAATTTACTGTCTGGGGTATTACAACTTCCAGAACCCTGTGAACTGGGCCATCCCGCTGAAGGATTCTGGGAACTGTAGTCCAAAAGCATCACTTCTCCAAGCTCCATAAAAGACTGAGTGTAGGAATTCACTTCCTGGAACCTACGTGACCATTACACTAACATACATGGGGATATTGTACAAGGAACCTACAGAGTCCTTAACTGCACTCACAGTAATGAAGAAAAAAATCATCATATACATCATTGAGTCTTTGATGGTGTTTGTTAAAGAGGTGAATGTGCGTGTGCTATCTGGCAATCTTTAACCTAGGTTCTCATGCAACATAATATCAGAAGACCTTTATGCAAAGGCTCCTTCTCACGCCTCAAACCTGGTAGCATCTCCAGTTCTGGATGCAAAATGTGGGTATCAGTCACCTGTGGCATCTGGGATCATCACACATTATCAGAGAGTTGCCCCAGCAGCAGATGGCACAGTCAGCTTGGTAGCCATCATCATCACACAGGAAGAAGCGCTCCAGAAACTTCTCCTTTACAAACAAAGCCAAAAACTGTAGTTAGTTAATACTACTATGTTCCTTTGTAAGTGTTCAAAGCCCATGACAAACTGCACCAGGAAATCTAGAACTTACAAAACATTACCTTTTAAAACCACAACTCCCAGACCCTGTCAGCCAGCAAAGGCAGATATGCAGACATTCTTAAAATAGTCCTTCATATTGAATCGCTCACTATATTATGACTGTGTGTGTGTGTGTGTGTCTAATAACCAACTTGTTTGAGGCCAAGGGATGGGTTAATCGCTCTAGCAAGAGTGGAACCGCAAGACTTTCAGCGTTGCTCAGACAGGTGCCTTTTTGCTTTAGCAAACAGGACCACTAATAGCACACCACTGGGTTTTTCAGTTACTTTTGTATGTTTCTCGGGCCTAAATCTAAAGGTTAGTGCCAGCTACAGGAAGCCCACTGTCTCTGTGGGCGCTCAGCCTTCTGGGACTGCACTCCAATTTCCCAAATGATTCAATGTGTCTTGTCTGACTGGAAGTAGTAAGCAGCTTTAGGCCATAGTCTTTCCTTCCTCTCTCTCTCTCTCAAGTTTTTTTGGTTTAAAGTATTTTCAGATGGAAAAAATATTTTATTTTAAGGCATTAATGAAACAAACAATGCCAGTTTTGAAAATATAACTCTGCTGGTTGATTACAGTATGTTGCTCTTGGCAGATCCCATTACAGTATTGCTGTCCATCTGCTTGGCCTGGGAAGCTGATAGCTCAGCTGAAGATAACAGACGTAAAATACCACTGCTGTTAGCATCTTCACCATCAATGACTTTGCAAGGTTTAACATTGTTTTGGGAGCTTTTAATAAAAATGAGGTCTGGAGTTGGCTTGTGGACTGAGTATTAGGGGAACTTTGTCCCAAAATCTGGAACCCCTTCTGGTAGCACAGCATCGCTGGCTAGATCTTTGGAACACATAAAGTTTTATCAGGCATTCTTTTCTGTACAATTTAATCTTTATGAAACATTTGGCCACAACATGTCTCAGAATACGGAAAGAGCTTTCATATTGCAATGTGTCTTGCCCTCACCCTCTGCAGGTCCTGTTTTCACTCCTAAATGAAATTTAGGAGTCGAGATGGGCACAAATCAGAAGAATGACGAATCAGGGTGGTTCATGAACTGTGGCTACCCACAAGCCACAAGCCACTCATGAACCCTGGAAAAAATAAACGGGTTTGTGGGGTTCTTCTTTTTCTTTTCTGGTTTGTGTCCTAATACCATCATGAATTGACACAGGGCTTGATTCAACAGTAGTACTTTGGAATTAAGATAAAGGATCTCCAAAATCCAGGAGTTGTTCTTCCATTATCCTTTAAATATAGGTTTTCAAGTGATCATAAAGAGAGCTCAGAAAAGTTACTCTCTCAGACTACAGCTTCTACAGGGCTATTTCTGGGGTAGATTTTTGGAGTTGTAATTCCAAACTGCAATCAAAAATTGGGACGTAATATCGGGCTTGATGCTGAACATCCACAGGTACTCACTGTGCATGGAGCACACATTCCTCCATGAAACAAAGGGTGCTGAGTATGAATCTCAAGCTCTCCACAACATATACAGATTTCTATAAAATACAAAAATATTATCTTATGCAGTACCATTTTCAGCATCCATTTTTACAGATTACTTGGAGATTTTGTTAAACTCGGTTTAAGAACAAATAATATTTGTTCACATACTAAACATACTACTTTTACAGTTAAAATATGTATATAAGAAAACAACAAAAACCTTGGCAGACTTCTCTATAGTTCAGTTTCAACTAAATTATGCCTGACATTTTCTTGTTGTAATAACAATACATGAAAAGAATCCCTTTGATAGGGGATATGGTTTATACATGAACGGAACCATCTCAAAAGCAGTACCCAGTTTTTTTCACTGAAAATACCCTATTCTCAAACAATAAATAACATTCTTCTTATGTAAAGACAACACCCATTTTTATGATTCACACATCACACACCTTCTTATTATCTACTTCTGTTAGAAAATTTTTAAAATGACAATTGCACACACATTTTTCTCTCATGTTGTTGTTGTTGTTATGCTCCATCAAGTCACTCCCAACTTATGGTGACCCCATGAATAAGCCATCTCCAAAATGTCCTCTCGTCAATAGCCCTGCTCATCTCTTGCAGACCCAAGCCTCTGGTTTCCTTTAGGAAGTAAATTCATTTTATATTGTCTTTTCCAGAGAATCCTGCCTTCTCATGATGTGCCCAGAGCTTCAATTTCAACCTTTTTGCCTACAGAGATAATTCAGGTTTGATTTGACCTAGGACCCACTTCTTTGTCTTTCTGGTAGTCCAGGGTATCCGTGAAGCTCTCCTCCGCCACCATATTTAAAATGAACTATTCCCCCCCCATCAACTTTCTTAACTGTCCAGCTTTCACACCCATACATGGTGATTAGAAAGGTGACAATGTGGATGATCTTGGTCTTCGTCTCCAGTGACAAAGGTCTTAAACGATCAGCCTTTCCCACTTGGTGCTCTTGAGACATGATGAATATCAATGATAGGAATATCATCCTATCATTGTCAGATAGCATGGCTAAGTCCCCTCATGGAAGTTGTAGTACCAGATGTCTAAAGGCTACCAGGTTAGCGATACTGCTACAGATAAAGGTGTCCTCACATTGTTCCAGCTGCTGAACAACTATTGAATTCAATTTATTTTTGATTTCCTTAGCTTGAGATAGGCTTGAAGTAGTGAATCAAATGTGAAATGGACACAAGATCTTTCTTGTCCCACAAAAAACCCTGAGACTTATTCAGTTTAAAACTTAAAACATGGGAAGCAGCACAGCTCTCTCTATATAATATCTATATATGCTGTCATACAGATGCAGACATATTATTTATATATGATTTTTATAAATCTACCATATCTTCTCTGTGCATATCTTGGCTGAGTTCTCACATATATCTGTGAATGGAAGATTTCTCCCATCTATGAACTAAGACTGCTGTTTTGTGTTGACAGACTATTAGCCTCTGGGCGAAAATGCTTCAGCAGAGTTAACAGCAGCAGCAGAAATAACAACAATCGTATAAGGCTATCACTTGATTAAGTATGTTTTAGTTAAGTAATCAAGTAACCTTTAATGGATTCTTTTCTGCATGTTTGGATAGAAACAAAACAAAACAGTTGTGAAAAATAAATAGCCGATTTGTCTTTTTCATCATTGGAGAGAGCTGGAACTTCTGGTCTGAGAGGAGGCGGTGTTTGCGCTGAGCCCCACTCCCTTTTTAGCCTCCCCCCACATCATTATTATTTAATAGGCTTCATCTTAGAAAATACATTTCCTCTGCTTCTTTTTATTTTTGTATATATGTATTATTTGAAAATAATTTAAATGGCTAAATCTGGTACCAGTTAATTGGTGAGTACCTTTCCAAAGAAATGTAACTGATTAACTTAACTCATTCATTGATTAAACACTGAAGCCCTACTAACAGTTATCTTAAAAAAAAACTAAACAAAATGTGTTGTTTAGATACCACCTCATAGTACTTAAAGCTCTCTCTGGGTTGTTTACAATATAATTATGCAGGCTACACATTGCCCCCCCCCCATGAGTTGGGCACTCTGTTTAGCAACCTCAGAAGGATGGTAGGTTAAGTCAACCTTGAGCTGGTACCTGAGTCTGGGTTCAAACTCAGGTTGTGAGCAGAGTCTTCACTGCAGTACTGCAGTTTTAAACACTGTGCTACAAGGCTCAGGACAATAAAAGTAATGATAGCAAATAAAACATCAGTAGCAACAAAAATTGTATCTTACCTTCTATATTTCTTCCTTTATAGCTTATTTCATATGCAATGTTTTCTAGGAAAAGAAAAAGAATCAGGGCATTTCTGACACTTTAATCAGTGTAACTGATCTATAATTTTATCTACATTGGCTGGAATCTACTGTATATCTGATCTTTCCTCTGTATTCCATCCTATCCTACTTTGGCAACACTTTTGCATAAGGCATTGGAAAGGTTCAAAAGTTCTTTTTATTGTTTTGAGAGAACTTCTCTGGACATAAACAGATATTAGAGATAGCCTGTGTTGCTAAAAAGAAATCGTTAACTAATGTGAGCATCTGGGTGTCACAAGCTTCTCTTACTTTTAGGATTACGCAGACTGGCTTGGTTTGATGATTGGTCTTCAGAACCTTAGCATGGGACTCCTATGAAGTCTAAGTTCACAAACACAGAAGGACTGTCCCAGTCACCACTCTGCAACACTTTCAGCTCTAATTATTTGCTACCTCTAATACAGTGGTGCCTCACTTAACGATTTTAATTGCTTCCAAAAAAATCATCGCTATGGGAAAACATTGCTAAGTGAAACACAGTTTCCCATAGAAATGCATTGAAAACCGGATAATCCGTTCCAATGGGAACAGATTGCCATCCTTAAGCGAAAATCGCCATAGGAAACATCGCTAAGCGAAACACGGTTCCCCAACTGAAATGCATTGAAATCTATTCAATGCATCTCAATGGGGGGAAAAAATTACAACAAATTTAAAAAGAGTCGGAACAAAGTCAAATTAGTTTAACAAAGGGTTTATTAAGTGCACTTATGATTTCAAGCATTCTAAACATTTTAAAAACATTTTTAAACATATAAAAAACAGCCAACATGAGGCTGTCAAAACCATCGTTAAGCGAAACAGGGGGACCCAAACTGTCATTGCTATGCGAAGCATGGTCCCAAACATCGCTATGCGAAAATCACCCATAGGGAACATCGTTAAACGGAATGCAAGGTTGCTCCGAAAAAGCCATTGCTAAGCAAATTCATTGTTAAATGAAGCGCTCGTTAAGCGAGGCACCACTGTATGTTTTTTTTGCCTCAATGGCTGCTCTCAGACTGTGAAACTAGTCTCTATAGAGGAAGGCAAGGTTGACCCCCTTCCTCTTCTCCTTCTGCCTTTAGGCCTTCTGTTTAGGTGTTTATCTTGGGTGGGTTTTTGACAACCATCTGCTTACTAAGATCATGAATAGTATTCATTTTAATATTCATTTTAATGAATAGGTGCCATACTCTCAAACTATTATCAGGTTAACTGATGTACTTTAAAGACTATTTTTAATTCACTTGTGTTTTGAGATTATAAATGTATTCAATAATGTCTTGCTTTTTGAATTTGTTCTTGTTTTTAAAATTCTGTCACGAACTGGGTTGGTTCTCAGTTCTGGGGAAAGTTGGGCTATAAATAAATAAGCAAATATCTTCACCGGACTAGCCTGGAAATTATAACTGCTTTGGACATGTCTGCTCTTTGCTAAAATATAACCACAGGGCTGGTTTTAAATGTTTGCAAGTGTGTGGGCTTCATAGGTACTGGAGATGGTGGGGGGTAAGAAATGTACCATAGCTGCTAATACAGATGGTGTTGTATTAGTGTTCGGTAAAAGGTGTTAATGAGTCAGTCCCATGACAAACTTCTTACTTGAGGCAGAGCAGCAATTCATACCCACATCCCACAGATCAAGGTGTGTTGTATCCATGGTCAGGTAAGTTATTTTGGCACACAAATTCCTTTCCTGGTATCCAAGAAGAAGAAGGAAGAAGCAACATCTAACTTTTTGGTGCCATTTCATGAGAATTAGACACCCAAGATGGCTGCCTTATTCTATCCAACGATACTGCTGGCACTGTATTAATTTTGTTTAGAGCATGAATAAGTTGGGTAAATGACAAGACCCCTGACTTATCCAATTCTCCCCAGATATGGCTTATAGTCCAAGCTGAGGGAAAGTAACTCTTCTCCCCACCATTTTGGGTTAGGCACTCCCCTGCCTCAAACATGTCCACCCCCCCCCGTATTATTCCTCTTGGTACTGAGATTACCTTTGCTGAACTTCACTAGATTTAATTCTTCTATAGATCTTACAGAATTTACATCCTTGGAACTATCATCCACCAAAGACAGAACTAAATCTGTGGCAGAAGAAGGAAACAGAAAATTATAAATCAAAAGGCATATCCAGATTTCCTGTTCCCTTTAAGGCAATTTAGTCAGAACACACTCTGGGTGGCCTTGTCACAAATCAGGATGCTATGAAGGTCAGAACACTTTTCTGAGTTCAGCAAAAGGCCAAGTAATGCACAGCCAGCAGTATAGAGGTAAATGTGGATGTGTAGGCATTCACCATAACAGTCTCCATAGCTACCACAATCCCATAAGGAGAGTCTAAAAATGCAGACAGCACGGTTCATCCTCATAAGCAAATGAGGAGCAGGTCTTTTGTGAGATTAATAGCTCTTAATTGCACATTCAAGACTAAGACACCTTCAAATACGTTGCATTGTAACAGCGATGGCTTGAAACAATATCTCTTGTTCTTGGGATAAGCCATAAACCAGGTAATGCCATAGAACCTGTTATTCACAAAGTCCTAGGACTTCAACCCTGAGAGTCCTGGCTGTGTTAGACCACTACATACAACAGGCCAGGTCTCTGGCCCAAAACATTTTAGTGAGAAAGAGCAACAAATTGCAGCTTCCATCCAACCAATTCAAGATAGCTATGTAATTTTGGCACATGAGGCAAGAAATCCGACATGTGTCTCTTTGCACCTGTGTTAGCAAAAACATATAATGAGAAATTAAATAACTAACTTTTTCTTTTTAATGGTACCCATTAAATGCCACCTAACCCTGCCTGATGTTAGGACCAGCCCTGAAAAAGAAATGTAGTCTCATTTGAATAGTGGACTATAAAAATAATTAAAATCCCAACATGGATGCCATTCCTTGTAGAAATAAACTTACCTGTGTTTAACCCTGGTGTAGTGGTAGGTATAATTTCTTTCACAGAACTCAAAGAAATAACTTCAGAGTTGTTCCTGATTGGTGTAACTACTGATGTTAGGACCAGCCCTGAAAAAGAAATGTAGTCTCATTTGAATAGTGGACTATAAAAATAATTAAAATCCCAACATGGATGCCATTCCTTGTAGAAATAAACTTACCTGTGTTTAACCCTGGTGTAGTGGTAGGTATAATTTCTTTCACAGAACTCAAAGAAATAACTTCAGAGTTGTTCCTGATTGGTGTAACTAAGAGAGAGAGACATTGAGAGAGAGAGAGAGAGAGAAAGGTAAAGAGGATTCAGGGGGACTTGTAGAAATAAACTTACCTGTGTTTAACTCCGGTGTAGTGGTAGGTATAATTTCTTCCACAGAACTCAAAGAAATAGCTTCAGAGCTGTTCCTGACTGGTGTAACTAAGAGAGAGAGACATTGAGAGAGAGAGAGAGAGAGAAAGGTAAAGAGGATTCAGGGGGAGGGGGAAAGGGAGGGAAAGATATAACCAGAGTTCTCCCTTCAGTCACTTTTCTTTGTGTGACCTCCGAACCCAACAACTGCAGTAATCCATGTGAGATACAAGGCTGGGCAGCCCATGGCCACACATAGCTCCCAGCAGCCCAAGGGTGGCCACAGAGCCCTGCTCCTTCAGCACACTAAACATTGTTCAATTTTTTAAAAATGGCTGAAAATGTCCTACTGCCCCTTCTAGGGGACATGGCAGAGCACTTTTACCACACCTGCTATTAAATGAACATGCCAAGGCCTTCTTTACATTTTGGGACTTGGGTCTCCCAGCACTCAGATCTACTTCCATGGTTTGTTTGTTTGTTTGTTTGTGGGGAGGAGTGAATTGCCAAACTGTTCAAGTGTTCCATCCCTGATTCTGAGGTGTGGGTAGTGTTCAAGGGGCACTTTCCCCCACTACCAACCCCTGTCATGAGTTTCTATGGCCAAGCAAGGATTGGGTTGTAATTCAACACTTTATTCATCACATTATCTCCATTGGGGCATGTGGGCGCCGGACATTGATGCCAAGCCTCACAGGATATTTTCTGCATTGATGGGGGATGGACTGGATGACCCTTTGGACACCCCCAATGCTACAATTCTGTGATTCTATGACAAGTGAAGGAAAACAGTGAGTGAATAATCTCATAATTAATGTTGATGAAAGATCAAAGGTCTGTGAGATGGAAAAGCACTGCTGCAAAAGGAAGAAGGCAGATTTGTTACTGCCATTTCTTCCTTTCTTTTCTTGTCAAGGGAACTAACCACATTGTTTTATTTTGAAAAGAGCTAGTTTGGGAGGTACAGCACATGATTACTGTATTTTTAAAACCACTGACAAGGGATATAATGTAATCCCATCAAATAACTACTTAAAATAGTGGAAAAGCAGAAAATAGCGATTAGTCAAATCAGCTATAGCTGTCCCGCAGATGCTTCCTTGCAACCATGTTCTAAATGTCACCCACACTTGTAGTTGAACTAACATCAATAGAAGGAAACATCACATTTCTGCCCCTTCCCTTCCCAAAACTCTTCTATTTATGCTTGGGGGAAACTAGATGAACTTATTTTTCAGAGACATTGCTATCATTCTCAATAACTAACTGATTGGGAAGCTTTGAAAATTGGAATGATCCATCACACTGAGCAGATTTCCACCTCCTCCAGCTTTCACTGCTGATAGTCCAATGTGTGTGCTGTTGCTCTTAACATCCCTGGCAGGTCTGGAGTTAGAACCAACTTCATCACTTCCGCCATGGTGCAACCACACACCAAACCACCAGGTTGACACTTGAAAGAGTCAGAAGGACTGCACTACAAACATCAAGCAAAGAAGGGCAGGAAGATCCCAGCTAGATTTACTCTCACTAGTGCTAATTTTGCTACCAATATCCAGCCTGTCTCACAGTCAACTTGCAACCATGATTTGAAAATACCATTACTTCCTCTTGGTCTCTGGTGACTCGTGGGAGACACTTCTTCCAAAGAACTGATAGAAATAATCTCAGATAAAGTTCTGTCTTTGAATGACAGAGCTGGAAGAAAGAAAGAAAGAGAGAGAGAGAGAGAGATATTTTACACATCTAGATACAGTGGTAATTGATCCATATGGACTATTGAGGCATGTCATGCCTGCATTTAAGGAACTGTGAAAACTTAAGCATCTTAACCACAAATAGTAGGAAATTGGCATATATTTATATTTATTATTTATCTACTAAATGTATTATTTATCTACCTCTCTCCTTACAGATGTTCTTGTTCTACAGTTCCCATAATACATCACCAATGGCTATGCTGGCTAGGGCTGACAGGAGCAGTCAAACACGAAACAGCTGGAAGGCCATAGTCAACCAACCCCATATTTAATGCCAGTATGTTGTTGTTATGGGTCCTCCTGCCATTTCTAAATCATGGCAACCCCTTCCATGGTATGTGAAATGTAAAAGGAGCAATTTACCACTGAAACCACTCAGTGAGTTTCCATGGCTAAGCAGAGATTAGTAACCCAGTCTAACACTTTATTCATTACATCACATGAGCTACTTTTTGATCCACCTTGGCAGTAGGAGGATGTACTAAAGACACACTTAACTAATACTATACCGGAGGCTTGCTGGAGTGCTAGGTAAACACATCTGGAAGATACTGAAGGCAGATGAGTAAGAAGTGATGTTTATGGCCCTTCTTGACAAAAGCGCAGTCTAACTGGCTGTGTGCCTGCATAGAGCTGTCCTGGTCTTATCAAGAGTCAAGAGTCCCAAACCATCACTTAAGGCTAACCTTCCCCTTTGCCCCCCCCACCCATAACAGGGACATCCTACACAGGTTTAGCTGCCTGTCATGGAATTTCCTCACAGAGTTCAACCAAGGTGTGTGTGTGCGCGTGTGTGTAGGTAGGTAAGAAATTGGTGTGTGTGTGTGTGTGTGCATGTGTGTAGGTAGGTAAGAAAGAGCTACCAGACCCAGTAACCATTTGAGAGGAAACAAGCAGAGAAGGTGCAGCTGCAAACCAATGGCTCTTCATTCTTCTCCTCCTAACCAGTTTTTGTCTCAGTGTTCTTGTGATGGTGATTTTTATTTCTTTTTGGTGCCTCCAACCACCTCACCTCAGTGCTGAAGGCTTATTTCCCCCTCCCTCCCCCCCCAAAAAAAACAACCATGTACACTTTGGCCTGTTCTGATGATGGTGTGTTCTGTAGAGATGTATTTATAAAAGTTACATTTTGGGGGGGGGACTACAACCCCAGCATGCCTAGCTGGCTGGGGGAATGCCCCACCCTGATGGTCTGTTCTGTAGACATGTATTTATAAAAGTTACATTTTTGGTGGACTACAACCCCACTCTGTAAGCCCTACAGGTAAGTTCGCCCAGCTCCGCTGTTAAGAAGGCATCTGGCTTTGGAGAAACGGCCTCGATGCTTTTCACGGGTGTGCCCTTTCTCCCATGTAGATCAACTGACGAACATAGGTTCGCTTTTCTCCCCTGTCTCTGGTCAGCTTTGGGGGAGGCTCCTTTCCCCCCTCCTCCCGCAGGTGAGTGGCGAGCGCCCATCGGCGCCTCCCTTCCTCCTCCTCCTCCTCCTCCTCCTCTTCCTCACCTGCCTCTGAGAAGCTGCACGTTTCTTCTCGCTCGCTGTCGGTGTCCAGCAGGACGACGACAGCGGGCTGTTCCTGAGCCATGCCGGCCGACGACCTTCGGCTGCCTGAGCGGGGCTCGCTTCCCGCGGGGCCCGGGGCGTCGCGGCGGGAGAGCCCAGCCCTGTGGGGGCGACAGGAAGGATCGGAGGCGGCGGCCCGAATCCTAGGCAAAGCGGCCGCCTTTTGCGGAGAGCGTTTGCAGTAATACAGGCCTTTGATTACGCACAAGAACCCACCATCACGCTCGTCTCAGAGAGTAGACCAGACGAGGGATGGGGGAGATGAAGGAGGGTCGAAAAGGGGCTAGGTAAGGTGACCAGCATCCTAGCGCTTCTCCCAAACAAAGAGCACCGCCACTGAATCCGCTCCTGATGGGTAAGACAACACTAACCCGTTGGAACAATAGGTTTACTCTCGTCTGGGCTAAGAATGGGATACCAGCTAATAAGGCTAGATCGCCCAAGGGGGATCCGGAGCCCCAGTCCTCAGAGGAATGATTCGTGGCCACTCTGGGCTCCGATGGGCGCTCTGGATTAGAAGTACTCTGACAGATCCTTACCCGGGGAGTCCCATTGCAGTCCCTAGAATTTACTTGGGATGAAGACCCACATCAGATCCTGCAAGTGGGCTGGTAATAAGTAACGAGGATGACGACCGCTTCATATATCTGATCAAGAAGTAAAACCCACAGGGGTTTTACTCATGCCACCAATCTGGTTGTTCAATTTCTACTGCTGACAATACAGTATACAAAATGGAAGAGGAAATTTCGTTCGAAGTATTTCATGCAGAATATTTATAGAATATACGCTGTTCCCTTTTGTAGGCGACTTGATTCTGCACAGCCAGGGTGGCCTCCCAGATGTTTGTGGCTGCAGCTCCCACGTCCCATAGAAAGAAAAACTTCCTTTTACCTCCTACACAGAACACTGTCTGATCCTAGGCAGGAAAAGTCCCTGAACAGGCTGCCACGCCAAGAGCTGAGGGAAATTCCTCTTTCTTACTACATCTTCTGTTGCCACCAGGCGCTGAGGTCTTTCTGTGTCACTTTCAACAAAGTAATATGATTTTGGAAGCTTGACCTGTTTGGGGCAGGTTAGCACATGGATGGGCAATTGT